GTGGCTCAATGGTTAAGACATTTGGCTGCTAACCCTAACCAAAAGTTTGGGGATTCTAACTCCCCCAGCCACTCCATGGGAAAAAGATGAGGCAGTCCACCTCTGTAAAGATTTGCAGCCTTGGAAACCCTATGGCGCAGTTCTAAAGAGTCTGTCCTAAAGGGTCACTACGAGTCAAAATCCACTTGATGGCAGTGGGTTTTGTATTATTATCATTGAACTCTATTTTAATCTGTTGTTGTTGTTATGTGCCGCCAAGTTGGACCTGATTCACAGCGACCCCTCCTTGGGTTGCTGAGGTGGTATCAGTATGGAAGTAGGATTGCCCAACCTTCCTTCTGAGGAGTGGCTGGTGGGTTTGAACCGCCGGCCTTCTGGTTAGCAGTCAAGTGCCTTAGGCACTATGCTACCAGAGCTCCCCTATTTTAATCTAAGTACTCACAAACATTGTTTTAGTAATCTTTTACAAAAATTATTGGGGATTAACATCAAATTCACCAGTCTGTGGTTTGAAATTCTTCTCCCTTAAGAAAAAAAAAAAAAAAAAGGGAAGAACGAGGGCAGTGGAAAGCAGACTACTTCAAGGATCTTTTACAGTAACAAAATTTTGTGAAAATTTATTTGTTTGAAATGGACAAATACAAGCAAAGTAATCATCGGGAAAAAGAAAGCAAAAAAGCAAAAAAAAAAAAAAAAAAAAAGGGAAGAACGAAAGAAAGAAAAAAGAAAAATCAGGATACATTCCTTTTTCAAATTTTAAGGAAGTTCTTCTAAATTTCCATGACTTCATAGGGTAAATTAGTGGGATGTAATAACATCCAAAACTTCCCTAGTTTCCTTGGGTTGCTTTTTCTTGGGGGCGGGGGGAGGAGAACTAAGATATTTTTAAGCTGCTATCTGCTCTTATGTTATCATGAGCTTTATTTTCTCATATCTACATTTTTCCCCCATTTGGAAATCCATTTGCCTTGACTTAGAAAGTGGACAACATTGAGTAATTCTAATATCTCTATGTAATATATACTTGTTTCAAACAATAGTTAGAAATTAAATTTCCATACAGACTTAAGAGGTACATTTTATTTTAGAAAGTGCCATTTTTATGCCTCCATTTTTCTTCAGATGTAAATGAGCAAACATAAGGTAAACTGTGCCCTAAAGTCATTCCCTCCACCCTCCAATCTTGTATACAAGTTCACAAAACAGATTCAATAAAATGGATATGTGGGAAACAGGTGGCATGGTGATTAGGGAAGCAGTAAATTGGTCACAGGAATATATTTTCTTTTCAGTGTACAGCCAGCCTGAGTCCTAACATGACTTGACAGACACCTACCTGTAACATGTTTTATGGCTATAATCCTCTAATAGTGAAATGTTTTTTTCTGTACTTAATACATTTAAACCTGCAGTTTATACTTTGATGATCTTTCATTGTTGTAAAGAATTATTGCATGGATATAGATGTACTTATTACTAGAGATTTTATGTGACAAATTACAGTAGTGAGCCGTGATTACTTCATTGCCCATTGCAACATATTGAGATTTATTTTCCTCCACTCTCTTATAAAAACACAGAAATTCACTAAAAAATTCTCTTCATTGCTCTGAAATGCACTGTACTTGTTTTTGCTTCCATAACTTTACTTATGCTTTCTGATGTTTTTCTACTTCTTATCTATATTCTTCCCTTGGTTTAAGAACAATTCAAGCTCCACCTCCCACACAGAGCATTTTCCAAGGACTCTAGACTCCATATGCATCTCTCTCTCTAACTTCCTTTGTGGCAGTATTTTATACTCTCTGGAGGCATAGTGCCTAAGGCATTTGATTGCTAACTAGAAGGGTTCAAACCCACCAGCCTCCTCGGAAGGAAGGTTGGGCAATCTACTTCCATAGTGATATCGTCTGAGAAACCCAAGGAGGGGTCGCTATGAGTCGGATCGGACTTTTTTTTTTGAGGGGGGGGGTACAATTAGCACATAGCTATATAGCTCTGGTAGCGTAGTACCTAAGGCACTTGACTGCTAACCTGAGGCTGGCAGTTCAAACCCACCAGCCACTCCTGGGAAGGAATGATGGGCAATCTACTTCCGTACTTCCGTAGTGATACCACCTTGGAAACCCAAGGAGGGGTCGCTATGAGTCGCTCTGAATCCACGGCACATATGAGTCGCTCTGAATCCACGGCACATAACAATAACAATCACATATAGGATTTTAAATTCTCCACTACTAAAATAGTACTTGTTAACATTTTAACGTAAAAATATATTATGCTTATATAGTCATTGACGCATGAATGTGTGTGAGAGTAGTTATTTAATTGTTTGGTGAATGTATTAACCAGACAGAATGTTTTTGTGGCAAGTGTTTACTAATTCTTCTATTGCATTATTTATTGGAGTAAGATGCTAGGCAAATCAGAGGATACAAAAAAGGTTGATGATAAATCATTTACATCAATACTATCCTACCAAATGAAGATATTGTTAGGGAAATAGTAGTTATAAAATAAATATTTCAGTGTTAAAGAAAGTCATCACTATGGATTACATGTCAACATAAAGGAAAAAAAAAAAAAAAAAGTCCTCACAATTGGACCAGTAAGCAACATCATGATAAATGGAGAAAAGACTGATGTTGTCAGGGATTTCATTTTCTTTGGATCCACCAAACAACACTCATGGAAGCAGCAGTCAAGAAATCAGATGTTATATTGCACTAGACAAATCTACTGCAAAAGACCTCTTTAAAGAACTAAGGAGTAACAATGTTACTTTGAAGACTAAGGTGCACCTAACCCAAAACCAAAAAAAAAAAATCAAACTCACTGCCATCAAATCAATTCTGACTCATAGTGACCCCCATTGGGTTTCTGAGGCTGGGAATCTTTACAGAAGTCAATTGCCTATCTTCCTTCTGTGGAGCAGCTGATGGGTTTGAACCACTGACCTTCTGGTTAGCAGCCAAATGCACCTAACCCAAGCCATGGTATTTTCAATTGCCTCATTTGCATATGAAAGCTGGATAATGAAGAAGGAAGAAGAACTATGTCTTTGAATTGTGGTGTTGGCAATAAATAGTGAAAATATCTTGGACTGCCAGAAGAATGAACAAATCTATTCTGGAAGAAGTGCAGGTGGAATGCTACTTAGAAGTGAGAATGGCCAGACTTTGTCTTATCTAGTTAGGTCATGTGGTCAGAAGGGACCAGTCCCTAGAGAAGGATATCATACTTGGTAAAGTAGAGGGTCCACACAAAAAGGAGAAGACCCTGAACAAGATGACTGAAACAGTGGCTGCCACAATGGCCTCAGCAATAACAAAGATCTTGAAGATGGTGCAGGACCAGGTAGTGTTTTGTTATGTTGTATATGGGTGTGCTATGAGTGGGAGCTGACTCGATGACACCTAACAACACAACAATAATAAATACTTGATCTTAAAAATAAAGAGCTCTTGTGGCACAGTGCTATGTCATAGTGTTAAAACTAGAACTCTAAAATTTGAACCAGAAGCAAAGGGGTTAGAAGGATAGGGAAATTACAGAAGGGTGGCCTTGTGGTAGGTTTGAATATGACATGTGCAGAAGAAGAGAAAACCACCTGGTCATTCCTCCTGAGCATACATGGGAATATATTAGGTAGGGTAATACTGAAAATTGTAAGGAAACAAGCATTTGTTAAAATGCTACTGGCACCAGGAAGTCTATTGATTACTTTATGTTGTATTTTACTTAACTCTAAGAACATTTTGACATTCATATTGTGATTTATGTTTTGTGGATGAGGAAACCGAGTAAAATAGATATATGACCAAAAAAGTGATTGCAATTTTGCTGTGAGAAGATCGATGAAAGAGTAAAATCGTATTTTTGCCTTTTAAGAAACAAATTACATCTCTGTCTATATAGTGGCTGTTAGGAGCTCTGGTAGCATGGTGCCTAAGGCACTTGACTGCTAACCAGAAGGGTGGTGGTTCAAACCCACCAGCCACTCCTTGGAAGGAAGGTTGGGCAATCTACTTCCATAGTGATGCTGCCTTGGAAATCCAAGGAGGGGTCGCTATGAGTCAGGTCTGATTTGATGGCACATAACAACAACAGCAAAAACAACATAGTAGCTGTTGTTGTTTTTGTGTGCTGTCGAGTCAACTCTGACTCAGAGCCACCCTATAGGATAGAGTAGAACTATCTCATATAGGTTCCTAAGTTGTAATCTTTCCTCTGGTGAAACAGCTAGTGGATTTGAACCATCAACCTGTCAGTTAGTAGCTGAGTATTTAGTTATTGCACCCCAGGCCTCCTTAGATACAGTTGCTAGTGATTGTGGAATTGAAACACATAAGCTATAAAATATACAGCATCCTACCTAATTTTGAATTATTTCAAAAACATAAAGGCTTAGGCACAACAAGTCAAAAGTCTTTTGTATTCAGGGAGACATTCTTGTATTGGACAAGTGCATCTTCTCTAATGAAAATATATTGTCAGATTTCTAAGAAATGCAAACTTGATACAACTAGGAAATAGAACAAAGGACATAAATAAAAAACAGTGGCTTATGATATTCAATTTTTAAAGGACAACATTTTCTTTTTATATAATTCTATGAAGGCAGGTTCAATTTTGTGACTTTCTATCAGCTTTACTTTCTGCTTTATTGTTTCCCAATTTTGAATTGTATCAAGAAAACTGTGGCCAACAGGCAAAGTTAATGCACAAAAGCACTTTATTGCATTTTAGAATAAGGCAGAAATAAGCAAACATATAAACAACATATAAACCCACAATCAAAAGCCATGCAATAAAGCCTTATACATCAGAAACAGAGTAATTGGAATAACATTTCTTATACTTGTTAGAATATTTTTAAAATATCCATACACTGAATTATTTTTATCTCCAACAGAAATGACTCCATTATTTAAGAGGATTTTGAAGACTAAGCCAAAAAATAAATCTTGGTTAATCATGCAGAATGGAAAGGAGCTCACCTTTCATTTTATTCTTGGAAGCAGCCGCTGATACCAAGGAAAGGTTGCGTAAGAAGAAGAGAACAAATATATTAGATATTAGACAGAGAATCTAACTGGTAAGAAAATAGAGATATTACTATTAGTTAAAAATAAAGAGATTATATTTATGATATGTGATTAACACTTTAGATGAATAAGAACTACACAAAAGAAAATGACAATTGGTGATATTTTGTTAGTATGATTAAAACCCTTGAATAGGGTTCAATAGGTTGAATAGGGTGAAATAGACAGGACCCATCTAGTGCAAGTCATAATCACCATAAAGCACCAAATTCCTTGTAAGTGCCGTATATCTTTTTTACATTTTTTTATTTCTAAATTTCAGTTTCAATCACAATTAAGGAAGTATTCTTTATATGTAACTTAAATATATTTAATACTATTTAAAAATGTGAAATTTAAAAATGTATCCCATAATGTTTGAATAAATCACAAGTGGAAGCCACTTTCATTTATAGATTGCTTATTACATGCCAAAGATGAGGCTGCACATTTTTCATACACTTGCCATTTAATAACTACAGCCCCATGTATTGTCATCATTGCCTTACAGATACGGAAACTGGGCCTTAGAAAGGTCAAATTAATCGCTGAGAATCAGATAGCTAAACCAAAAAAACTCACTGCCTGTGACTCATTCCCGACTCACAGTGACCGGTCCTTGAATTAGAGATTGTCTAGACTTCCTTCTGAGAAGGATGGTGGGTTTGAGATGTCAGCCTTCTGGTTAGCAGTCTAATGGCTTAGGAAAGATGTAAATTTGGGATTTGATCCTAGCTGAATCTGACTCCAAAATCTATGCTCTAACATTACTAAATTATGCTGCTTCAATTTAAGGAATTGAGTCACCAACTCAAATGCAAGACTCAAGCTTAGAAAGCCAAACTAAAAATAACATAATCCATTAAACTGCAGCTATTGACTAAAATAGCTATGGAATTAGAAAATTCCATTACTTTCTACTTTCCATTAAGAAATAGAAATTATGCTTAATTATATCTAGTGGTAAACACTGTTTGGTACAAAAGCAAACTTAACAAGGAAATTAGAGTAGTTAGATAGTTCCTAATTCAAAGGAAGACTTGTAGTCAAATGGCTCTAATTGCTTTTGAGAAGTCCCCAGGAGGTGCAAATGGTTTGTGCTGGACTACTAAATAATGGTTGGTAGTTCAAACATACTAGTAATGTCAGGGAAGGATAGCTGGACAATATGCTTCCTTAAAGATTACAGCCAAGAAAACCCTTTGCAACAGTTTTATTCTGTAATGTGTTAGGTCCCCATGAGTCAGAATTGACTGGAAATTAACAGGTAAATACTTATGAAGTGATACAACTACTTCGATTTAGGTACATTTTAACCAGGAATATTAATGGATGAAACAGTGCTTTTTCACTCTCTAAAAGTTGTTAAAGATGATGCTTCCCTTCCACTAATTGCAAAATATCTAGTCCCCAATTTGTCATACTAACTTTCAGGGAGGCTTAAATTTAGATTTTAGATGCAGTACTTATAAACTGCATATGGAAACTTTTAATTGATACTTGACTCTTTCAAATTACTTAGAACTAAAGAAAATTTTAGAAAGTCTAGCTACATGCCAGACTACTTACAGAAAATATCATTTTGAACAAAATTCACAAATGCTGCCTTATTGATATTTATCTTCACTCAAATCATAGAAAGGAAAATGTACATGGCATTAAGTATTCTAAAAATAATTAATAAAAGTATTAATAATTATTATTAAAACAAATTATCTTAAAAGTAAAATTATTTCCAGAAAACTGGTTAAGTTCTTGCCTTAAACCCATGCAAATTCTGTTTATTTCTACAGCTTCAAAATGGATATAGAGTAGGCTGCAAGGGAAATTGCTCACGATATTGTTATGAAAATAAAATGTAAAACTATTTTAAAAATCAAAGATCTAAAGTGAAACTACTAGATATTTTGGATATTGCTACTAATTATGATGTCAAAATTCATAACAAAATTTGGTGGCACAGTTGTCAACAGCTAGTCTGCTAACCAAAATGTCAGTGCTTCAAACCCACCATCTGCTCTGTGTAAGAAAGATGTGGCAGTCTGCTTCCGTACAGATTTCCCCTACCCTACTGGGAAGCTTTGAGTTGGAATTGATTCCACAGCAATCGAGAATTCATAAAAATTTAATATTAGAAATTATATTTAATAAGGAATTTTCACTATAGAAATTATCAGGAATTGTTTCTAAATTATTTTTAATTACAAAATTAATACATGCCAAAAAATTAGAGATGATATAGAAAAGTAACCAAATCCCCATCTCCCTCTCCAATTTCAACTTCAGAAATAATCAGTGTTAAGAGTTTGTTTTAAACAAAAATAAAATTTGATATTCTTATACAGATGTGCTTTTCCAGGTCAACATGTTTTAATTCACTTAAGAGTTGCATATATTTCTATAGTATATACAATTTATGAGACTATATCCCTATTGACAGAAAGGTGGATCTTTTCATATGTACATTTTTCCTTTTTTGGTGAATTTATTTTTCATTTGTTTATTTCACTAGTTTTGGTTTTTTATTTTTTTGTTTTTTAAGCTAATATCAACAATGCTGCAAAACACACCTTTATTGTATACCCCTTATGCATTATGGTGGTGCTTTAATTTTATAAAACAGAATTCCTGGTTGTTTTAATCATTCGTTCATTCATTCTTTATTTTTCCAGCCAGGAAAGCACTAACAAAGATGAAGATGTTAGATACTGCAAATAGAGGATTGGGAATATTGGCAAGGGGACTATGCAAATAATTTAATGTTCTAAAATAAAAGAAAGCTAGAAAGAACAGAAAAAGAGAGTGAAAGAGAGAGAAAGTACAGAATCTATTGTTCTAAACAATTGATACTCTGAAAAATTCTTTGGATCTTATAGACCACAAACTGTTTAATGAAAACCCATTATTATTTTTGTATTAAAAATTCATTTTTGAAAAAAATACTGTTAGTATATTAGTAAACTTAATAATTATAACTATTAGGAAGTATTTTAATCTATTTATAACCTTAGTATTGCCTTGAGACTACAGAAAGCTGAATGAATTACTTGTTTTTAGCTTGTGCTAAAATACTATTTGCACAATTGCAAAAACTGTGTTTATGTATCAATATGTTGAATTGTTCATGTGTATAAGCTGCCCTTGTAAGGGAAATTTCACTTCAAACTCAAATTTATCATTTAAAAATTTGCAGCATGAATTCAAAGAAAACTTCAAAAACATTTATAGATTTTTTGTAAAAAAATGGTAAAAATCAATTAGCATTTAATAGATAATGCATACAGCCAACCTATATAAAAGTTTGTCTTTTTTTATTTAAAACAGTAGTGAAGTTAAGATTAAGAAGGCAAATCTTTATATTCCTCAGTGGAATAGAGATGAATTATTGAAAATTTTCAAACATTGTAAGAGGCAGATTATTGGATAAGTAGCAGAGTAAAAAAGAAAGGAAAACAAAAGTTCAATGCCTGTTTCTGAGTGCGTTCAGCCAGCTAATACTAGACTAGGCTGGTTAATATAATTGGAAAGGGGCCAGGCTACCAGGCTTGTTAGCCCAATTATAATGCTCTGCATATTCAATAAAAGAAGTAAAGATGACAGCAATACTGTCATAAATGTCATGTTCAATACTTGTAATATTTTCCATTGTCAGCACAGTCCAATTATAAGTCAATTGTAAAGTGCATACTGCACACACCCAAAAGTGGCTGAAAATTATCTTTAAAAATGCAATTCTAACTGTTCTTATTTAAAATGAAAAGAGGGGAAATAAAGGTACTTTGACTAGAGTGTTAGGTTTCATATCAACATGTCTTCATCTTTGTAATAAAAGCAGCAAGTTGTATAAATATTACAGTTGGTCTTTTTTTTCAGAGATTTTTTTAATGGCAATAATTACAATAATAACAATTTGAAAATATATGCATGTAATTTTAGAAGAAAATGTGACTGTTAAGAGAATCATTATAGCTATTTACAACTGAATGTTGAATACATAGTAAATATTTGTTATTACAGTAATTAGGTTTATCTCTGAAAACTGCAATGCAATCATCAAAAACTAAAAATGCAATTCATTCATTATGTTACCATTTTGGTTATTATTCTCATCAAATTAAGAATGTGGTTAGTCATTTGGGAAAGGCATCCCTCTTTAACTATTAATTTTGTGAAGTATTAGACTATCTAAAACAGTATTTTTCAAAATAGAGTAAGGGTACGTAACTAGAGAATGGGAGAGATCTCAGGAAAGGTTAGTAAAATTTTAACTACCTCTAAGTTGATATAACCAACTCAAGCGTTTTCCCTGTTTTTTTTTCATTCTTACTCCTTGACTTTTGTGTGTGTTTGTGTGATTTGGGCGAAGATTTACAGAGCAAATTCACTTTCCATACAGCAGTTTACATATACGTTGTCTCATGACATTGACCACAGTTTACCACAATGCAACAGCTCCCCTCCC